CCATTATTCTTATGTTTCCTCTCTTGATGGTATCAGCTAGTTCTTGTATTTCTCTTTCATTATTTTTCATTCTTCAGTTTCTCTCTTTTTCCTTCTGATTTCTAGATTTCTGTCTTCGATATCACTGATCCTTTCCTCCATTTGGTCGACTCTATTTCCCAATCTTGCTGTTTTATTTTTCATCTCTTTCAGTGTGTTCTTCATCTCTAGAAGTTCTATTTTGCTCTTTTTGAGGGTTTCAATCTCCTTGCTAAAGAACTCATTCTGCTGATCTAGTTGTTTTTTTCAATTCCTGAAATTGTTGATATTGTTTTGGATCTGAGTTTTTTCATAAGTACCATCCTGAATTCGCTGTCATTTAAGTTTCATATTCTCTGTCTTTAAGCTTATTTTCCTGGAAATTTTTCTTTCTTTCTGAGCTGCCTTGTTACCTGGTTGTTCATGGTATTTAATGGACTATTTCTCTACCTGGGCATTAATGGAAGTGTATTCTACTTTTTTTTCAAGAAGAAGATTTATTATATAAAGGTCTCTTTTTAACCTATTGCAAAAAAAGGCATTTTTCTTTTAGTTTCCAGTAGGTGGCATCTAAGCCTCTTGGATCCCTGCTTTATATAAAGTCTTAATAATGCTTTTTCTTTTCTTATAAATATTTAATTATGCTTGCTACCCTCAGTCTCAGACCCTGTCAGTATTAGTGACAGTTTCAGTAGCACTTGCTTAAATTCCCCTGGGGCTCCGTAGTGTTCTGGCTCGGAGGGTATGAGGGGAGGGGCTTTCTGGGTTGGGGGGTGGGGGCTGTGGCTCAGCCTTGTTTTTGCGACCACGAATGGTAATAATCAACAGTTGCTTCTCTGCCATCCCCACTTTTCTACAATCCCCACTTCTCTGCTTTCTGCCCTGATCCCTGGGCACTGCTGCTGTGTGGAGCTCACAGCTCTCCCAGGCAGGGCTGTTCAGGAAACCTGTCACACGTTCACCCCTCCCCCTCCTCCTGCTGGGAGCTCCAGCTGTGAGAGGCAGCTTCTTTGTTTCTCTCCGTCCACCTCCCAATTCCCAGGGTTCTGACCTTTGGTAGCTATTATGCACAGATCTCTCTCTCTCTCTCTCAGACATGCTTGTGTGCACGTTGGGTGTTTTTTGTTGAGTTTTAGATGTTCAGCTTATTGTTGTTTCAAGGGGAGAGATCTGGTGACATTTCTCACTCCACCATGTTTCTGACATCCTGTTTTTTTTTAATTGAGGTAAGATTGGTTTATAACACGAGTTTCAGGTGTGCAACATTATAATTCAACATGTTTATACCACATACTGTGCTCACAACCAAAAGTCTAATTTCAATTCTTCTCTATACAATCGATCTCCCTTACCCATTTTGCCCTCCCTCTGCCCTTTTTTCCTTCTGGTAACCACCAATCTATTGTCTGTGTATATGAATTTGTTTTGGTTTTTTGTTTGTTTTTTATATCCTACATGTAAGTAAAATCACATGGTATTTTTTTTCTGTCTGACTTATCTCACTTAGCATAATTCCCTCAAGATCCATCCACGTCAAAAATGGCAAGATTTCCCTTTTTTATGGCTAACATATATCTATAGCATCTTCTTTATCCATTCATCCATAGAGGGACATCCAGCTTGGCTCCATATCTTGGCTATTGTAAATAATGCCACAATGAACATCAGGATGCATATATCTTTTCGAATTAGTGTTTTCATATCCTTTGGATAAATAACCAAAAGTGGAATTGCTGGGTCATATGGTAGTTCTATTCCTAATTTTTTGAGGAACCTCCATACTCTTTTCCATTGTGGCTGCACTAATTTAATTCCCTAAATTAGTAGCTGCACTAAATCTTCATGAAAATGATACAATTCGCAAAACACTTGCTATGAGTATATTATTAATTTGAGGGGGAAAGTGAACTTTATCCAATTCTGCAGGACAGAGCAGGGACAAAACAGGGACCACTAAGGAGCACAGGAGTTGGAGTCACATAGGCTGCGAGGAGCATGAGTCTCCAGAATTAGCAGAATTCATGGTGAGAGTGTGAGGATTTCACCCCCGTGGAATTGGTGGGATCAGAGTACACCTAAAGGGCAGGGCCACCCACGCTGACAACAGCACAGACACACAGATTTATGGTTACAGCTTCAGAGTCCGCGGCTGCAGCATGCCAGGCCTGACCAGCCGGCAGTCCTCCTCATTTCCACAACTCATTTACTTCCTCTGAGTAAGTCATCAGGGTGCCTCACAGGGCTTCTGTCAGCAGTAAATAGATGAGGCAAGTTATGTGAGAGTCAGCCAGGAACATAGTAGGTGACAGTGTGACTTCCGTTTCTCTGCTCTTTAATCTAGGAACTAGTTCCTCACTAACTTGGTGAATCACAATATTAGGTGGGGGTGGTGGGCTGTGGTAGCTGATTCTGTCTGCCCAGCAAGTTTCTCTAGACTCCTCTGGTTTAAAGGGGAAAATCCTGAATCCCAGACAGGCTGTGACTTGGGCCTGGGACTGATAAACAAACATTGGAAGAAATCAGCTAATTTTCTAATACAGTAACTACCTTGGGGCTGCTGGCACTTGTGTTTCCCCACAGAGAAATGGGTCTGCATGTAGTAGGGGAGAATGGGGCCGACATGCAGAGAGAAGCAGAGATACCAATGGAGAGAAAACACCTGGACAGTGCGAAGTCCGTTCTAGCCCCCAAGGCCTGGCTCATCGCTCAGTCTGTAAACACTCACTCTCCCTCCCTCCATAGGAGTCGGTAAACACCCATTTGCGTAACTTAAGTTCATCGCACGCCAGTGGCTTGGCGCGTGTGCTCGCGCGTGCGTGCTCGCTCGCGCTCTCTCTCTCTCTCTCTCTCTCTCTCACACACACACACACACAGGATGCTGCAGAGATGGACAGGACACTAAGGTGACACACCTGGGCCAGACCATCCCTAAGGGCCTTTTTGATGGCCTCTTTCCCACAGGAAGTCCTCCTAGCCCCCAGGTCTCTTTGAATGAGCCATCCCACACCCTCGTTGGCCCAGCCTTCTTCCTTAGCCTCACTCTGGAAAGTCAGTGACACAGTGAAAAAGCAGTGTCTAGAGGAGGAGAGTCCCCTGATAACAGGATGCTGAGTCCCTTGTGCCTGCACACAGCTAGTGGAGTAGGAAGCTTAGGGTCCTCAGGGTGGAAGCAGTATCGAGTCGGCTGCTGCCTCTCTCCACCTGCTATCTGCACAGCTGGCCTACCCTTGCCTACACCCTGGCTTCATAAACCTCTCCTGGAGCCCCAGTCCTGCTAATTAGAAAACTCTCCACTCCATCTAAATTCCCCTGGAATAAGGCCATTCAGCACAGCCTAACAGATTGACTAAGTCTCAGCCCAGGACTGATTCTTACTAACTCAAAGGATAGGAGGCAACTCTGGGGCCTTAGGTGGCAAAGAGGCTTACATTATGGGCAACATCCCTGGCAGGCAGAGTAGCCACCTGCAAAGCTCTCCCAAGGTCCCCTCGTACCTACCTACTAAAGACTACACAGTCTGTCAGCCCTGCCAGCTGCCCCTCTGAGCTGCAGAGTCACAGCTAAACCACAGGCTCAGCCCCACCAGGCCCTAAGGCTGTCTTGACCAGCAGAAAGATGCAGTACCCCTGCCCTGCAAGCACTTCAGAACCCAAGTGTGCCCAGCTCCCAGGCCAGATTCTCATACACAGGGGGAGCCGTGGGCCCCCATCCCCATGTCCTCCTCAGAGGAGCAACCAGAGAATTGCTAGTATTTCTTACACACCTACTATGTGGACACAGGCACTGTGTCCAAAGCTGTCATTTTGTATCTCATTTAATTCTCAGAACAAGATTATGAGGCAGGCAATTTTATTATCAAGGTCACACAGCAGCTGATGAATCCAAGACTTAAAATGCAGGTCTTGCTGAGACCTAACAGGATCTTGCCCTCCCATCCTGTCCAAATCTCAGGGCTCTTGCTCTGAGCTGGACAGTCCTTCCAGGGCCACACAGCTGTGCTTACACTTCCCCAGTGTCAAACCTGGAGGGCGCTGATAGGAATTAGTGTGTCATCCATCCCCTACTGCTCACAAACCATAGCTCTAATCCTGTGGGAGTCCACACCTCCACTGTGCATGATAATGTGCCCACCACTTCCACGGTACTCTCTGGAGCTGTGAGAAGGCCGAGCAAAGGCTGTAAGCTGGCAAGCCAGCCCACTGCAGACTGGACCCTTAGTTTGGCTACAAAGGGAGATTCTGGAAAAGTCAGGAAATCCAGTTCCAGTCTTCACTTCCCTAAGCTGTGGAACTTTGGGGCACAGACCACTGGTGTCCTCCAATATCTGGCCTCTTTTCTTTCTAGGCACACAACTAGATACTTGCCGGCCTATTATAGTTCAGTGTGGCTTCTGAGTTCTGGCCAATGGAATGTGAGCACAAGTGGTGTGCAGGCTACTAGGCCTCATGCCTAAGATGCTCCCTTCCTTGATCCTCATCCTCTTCTCCAACCACCAGCTGACTAGAGCCAACTCCAAGGACCTATAAGAGGATGGAACCACAAGATAGGAGTCTGGTTCCTTGAAAGACTGTATGGAACAGAGCAGTCCCCACCTTAGCCTCCCTTGCAACCCGCCAGCGACTGTGACATGAGCAAGAAACAAGCATTTCTTTTTCGAAGCCACCAAAGTTTAGGGGGTGCTGCTATAGTGATTAATCTGTTCTGACTCTACCCTCACGCAACGTCCTCACACTTGAGCATTCATTAGAATCCCCTAAGGGCTGGTTAAGAGTGCTGGCCTCCGTCTCAGAGTTTCTGATTTTATTGGCTTTGGAGTGAGACAATAAAATGTTCATGTTTAATAAGTTCCCAGGCAGCTTGGTCTAAAGACCACGCTTTGAGAACCACTTCACTTTTGCCTAAGCTGCAGTGTTGGAATTACTATCCCCATTTCACTGAGGAAACGGCATCAGTTCCTGACTCTTTCATTTGCCCTATGCTGCTTTCACTGTGCTACATCAGTGCATGCCCCGCAACTGCCTACTTTCGTTCATGGTGTCCTGTGAATTAGTGTCATCAGAGGGACAGAGAACATTCTTTGGAGTGGAAATCGTGCGCTGTAAACCCAGCTCTGCCATTCAACAACTGTTCTGGCAAAGCACGTTCTGTTCAGTTTCCACTCATGTAAATGGAGAAAACAGGGTTAGTTCTCTCCCCCTCCCTCAATCCCAGACATACCCCACCAGCCCAGCAGCGCTGGGCCCACAGGAGGATTTTTATGAAGATGTCAGACTATTGCACCTTAGCAGCAGCTGCTTGGGATTGAAGGAAATAATTCTGGTCCTGGTCCTAGATTCCCCTGTTCCAGCCTCACCCCTGAGAACCACAGTGGACACTCCTATGGCTGTCTCCAAGGCCAGGGGCTGACACCTATCCTAGTGCAGCCTTGGGATGAAAGAAAGACAGGGAGAAGGGGGCTAGAAAAAAAGACCACATGGTAAAAATGTAAATGTACGCCTTTGCCAGGTACAAGAATCTGTTCCAAGGGGGAAGAAGGGGAGAGTTCACTAGCAGCGGGGGCTGGGGACCCCACATTCATTTCTTAGAATATCCGTTACAGGTTCTCTTTTACAGGAGAATACTACCAAAGTCTCCCCAGTCCCTGTAGCTTCCCAGAATCAACTCACACTCACTTTCTCTCTCGCTAGAGCGCGCACTCGCTCGCTCTCTCGCTCTCTCGCTCTCTCGCTCTCTCGCTCTCTCGCTCTCTCGCTCTCTCGCTCTCTCGCTCTCTCGCTCTCTCGCTCTCTCGCTCTCTCGCTCTCTCGCTCTCTCGCTCTCTCGCTCTCTCTCTCTCTCTCTCTCTCTCACACACACACACACACACACACACACGGCTCCCTGGCTCTCAGGGAGCCAGCACTGACCAGATCCACAGAGAAGGGAGGTAAACTCACTTCAAAATGCAGTTATGCTTGAAAAGATATTCAAATGTACATATTACAAACAAGGAGTCCCAGGACTCATTCAGAAGGAAAAAGAGAATGACATTGAGCTCTGTCATGACAGTTGTTCTAGGGAGTGAAGTGTTAGGATCTGTTGGTTAGATGAGAGTGTCAAGTTTTTGAATAGGTGACCTGATCTTGTCTATGGAGGAGCTGATGTCATCCTTAGAGCCCAGGCAAAACTCACAATCCTAGATTTGGCCACTGGTAGATGGGGGTGCCCTTAGGTGACATGGGAGAAGATGGGGAGGAGTGTGGGTGTGGGCGGGATTTGGGGTTAGGAAAGACGAGAAATTCAGTTTTGGATCTGATGACTGAGGTGTCTACAGGAATAGACAGAGATCCAGTTTAAAGTAGCTTCGCTGATACCCAGGCTCTCTGGGCAGCAGATGGCCTGAGTCATCAGTCACGAATGAGAAGGCAGCTAGTGTTTCCAGGGCAGGGAACCTCCCACAATGGTGCCCCTTACCTAGGGCCCCTGGCAGATACCCTAGCCCCCAGGCTTCACTGTGCAGTGAGAGATTGGCTCTTTTGGATCTCTTGCCTGAGTCTTATTTTAAAAAATAGGCTCTGCCAGATGGACAAGAAGTGAAAGGAAATTTGGATAAGCAAAAAAAGATTCTGAGGGTCTGCAGAGAAAAATTATGCAGTTTAGAGCACACCCACTTATCTGATTCTGATTCTAGACTGTTGTTGCCTTTGAGCTATTCTACAACTCCCGAAGTTGTAGAGTTCATGCAAAATATTTGTCTATGGACATGCATACAGTACATCTGAATGAGGCTCAATAGACCCCTTTCCACTGAAAACAATGCCAGTCTCAACATCCCTTTACTCCATATAAACTTAGAGTTCATTGTGATTTCCTCTTTAAACCGGTTGTTAATCTTACCCGCTCCCTCATTTAATAAATGAAATAAAGCCTTTGATGTGTACATATATAACATATATATATGAGCAATGCCATTTTTTTCAAGTATCTCTAACAGAGGGAATGGGAAGGACCACTACCGCTCAGGGAGAGGAAGACTTGCCACAGTCCGTGCAACACAAAACCCACTCCCAGCCCCATTCACATCACCCCCAAAAGGAGGCATCTACACTGGGCTTGCCTCATGCAGGGACAGGGTGCTCAGTCCCTCCCAGAGGCCACTCCAATTCTTTCCATATTGGATGACAGCTGTGTGCATTTTTAAAACATAAGAAAAACAGACCCAAAACTAAAAGAAAACACAGCATGCCTGCTCCACCACAACAGGTGAATGACCAAAGAATCATCAGCAAACAGGGCCAGCAACCCAGGGCTCCTTACAAAGGCACAGGAAGGAGCGAGGACACTCAGGCTAGGCAGCGCTGGAGGCTGGAGATCGCAGGGCTCACCCTGCCTCAGAACAGAACCTTGATGCAGACACTGTTTACCTGGCTGCTTTCCTGACCCTGGGGGACTTCCCGCATGTTTTTAGACAAAGAAATTCCCCTGGAAGGTGGAGGATGCATGAGCAAGCACAGCGGGAGCCTGTGCACGTATGCACTTACTTCTCTGTCTCTGTCACTCTCACACACACACACACACACACACACACACACACACACACACACACACTCCCTCCCTCCTTCCCTCCCTCCCTGACCAGGATTCTAGTCCACTTAGGCTGTCCAAGAAATGAGAAGGGAACGGAGGGCCTACTGGACTCAGCTTCAGGCCCCTTCACTGGTCTCAGCCCCACACTCCAAGGCCTTGGGCAGGTCCCAGCATTTCCACTACCCACCTCATCCAGACATGATGTCCTACAATTTTCAGAGCGATGCCTGCTTCCAGACCCTTGCCTCCATCCCATTCCAAGCTACTCTAACCCCATTTTCCTACAGACCATCCCTCCTGGAAGGCAGGCTATGGCCCCTATGCCAGCTCTCCTGGCCTGGCCTCTGCAGATAGCCCTATTCCCTTTGGCTCATGAGGGCCACTTTGTTTCCTCTGGGAACTTGAGGGGCAACTTCTTGGGCTATATTTGTTCCTAACAGGACTCACACTCCAGACAAGCAGAAACTCCCTCTCCCGCCACCCTGACCCTATGCCACAGAAAGTAAACAGTTCTTGAACTCCAAATGCTCCCCATAGACCTCGAGGCCTTGTTCTTAAAAGGATAGGGAAGTCAGTCATTTCATTTCAGCCTGACTGGAAGTTTGAACCGTGTCACATGTAACCCAGGCAGCTCAGCCTGGTGGGGACTACGGGCTACTGATAAAACCTCTTCAATAATTATATAAGCAATAAGGTTGGGGGTGCCTATATTAAAACGCTTTATCCGCTTCATCTCGTTTAATCCTTAAAACCCCATGTGGGGGTATTGTTTTCCCCATTTTACATAAAGGGTTCAGAGAGGTTAAATAACTTGCCAAAGGCCAGGAGGGCTGGTGAGTGGCTGGGGATTCGATAGTTTATCAAGCTCTTTCATCTACACTCTTGTAATACTCCCAGAAACCTTGTGAAATAAAGACAATTATCTCCACTTTATTAATAAAGAAACTGCGGCACTAAGGTGTTTTGTTTTTGTTTTTGAGCCCAAGTTCAAACTCAGGCTCAGAACTCCCCACCACAAGTCCTAACGCAAAGGACTCGGCCTGGCACCACAGAGGAAATAGAAGATCCCACCACAGCCCCATCCTCATCTCCACTGGGGAGGCACTCCCCCAGAGCGAAGATCTCCCTGTTTCGCCTCCCCCCGCCCCGCCGCCCCGCGCTTACCCTGGGTCACATGTCACACATCTCCTCTTCCAGTAGCAGAAGCAAACCAGACGTCAGGGGGCAGTGATCAAGCAGTGAGCTGTCTGACCCCAAAGCCCCATCACAAGGCAACAGGGCATTCAGTGAGATGAGGCTTCTCCCAGAATCACAAGTGCCACATCCTAGAGCTATAGCCAGGCTGGCAAATGCCAGGCTTGTGTCTGCCCAGGGTCTACAGCTTACTCCCTGAGCAACCTCGGGATAGCACTGAATCTCGAGTGTATGTCCTTACCTGCACATAAGAATACCACCCAAAATCACTGTTCCTAGTGACCAGCCATCTCTCAAGGCATAGGCAGAGAGTTTGGGCTCCCTTGCCTATCTGGCTCAGCCTCCCTGTGGAATTTGTGCTGTTGTAGGCCACAGGCTACTGGGGTAGTCCTTGGAGAGACATCACTGTGCCCCGACCAGCCACCTCTTTGGCCACAGCCAGTCCATACGCCACACATAGCAGCCATGGCCTGGCAGTAACAGGCACGTCCCAACTCTGAGTACTCGCTTATTACGATATTAGCCCACCTTGCTGGAGAACTTTAAAAAACGTGTTTTTCTTACAAACCCTTCTAGGAAGTAATTCAAATAATAACATACCACGGGGTTTTTATAAGCCCTTGTAAGAGCAAAACACTGCACCAAGTAAAACATCCACCCACAGAAGAGTAACAGGGGTTGTTGGCAGTCTCCCCAGTGTTTATCCCCTTCCATAAAAGCCTGTTTTCCCTGCCGTGCGTTTTCAGTGCGATGGACAAGCACAGGGGATTGGGGAAGGGAGGCTGCCCTCAATGGCTTCACCCCCATGCCATACCCACCAGAGTGAGGCCAGAAGTTGTCTGTGGAGGGTCTCCCCTCCCGCTGCCTTGGGTGATGGGAACACCGTGGAAGGCAGAGCAGAGAGGAGAAAGGAAACCAGATCCTGTTGACATCACTAAGCCACTCCGATCAAACCAACCCTGAAACTCACCCCACCTCCGGACTTTCCAGCTTCAGGAGCCAAAAACCTCCCCTCATTGTTTAGACCAGTTTGAACTGGGTTTCTGTTACCTGGGACTGTAAACATACTCCCCTGTACAGAGCAAGGTTCATTCACTTGTGGCAGTTCTGCAACGGACAGTGTGACTGAAAATGCACCATGGAATGGATGGGTATGAGCCAATAGAGAAATAGTTCTGAGGTACATTAAGCAAAATTAATTGTAGAATACTATATAAAATATGATTCTCATTTACGTGACAAAGATAAGATATCTGAATACGCATGAATGTTTTCTGGAAGGGTACTTAATGGTGGTTGCCTCTGGGGAACAGAAGACATACTTTACACTCTCCTATGCTTAAATTGCTTTTACTTATAAATTAAAAAGAGAGCCTAGTTTAAAAGTGCGAGGTGATAAAATTATCATCCAAAGTGATAATTTATTTTGGTGGTTATTAAACCATGCTTTTGAAGCCCCTGCTGAAATATAAAATACAGAGCACAGGAAGAAAGCACAGTGAAGAAAGAATTGTCTCAGGACTTTGTCAGAAATACTTACTTCCTCCTTCTCCAAAGCTGGGATCTCTAAAATTGGTAACTTCAGCAGAACAGTATTCACTTAAATGTCCCCTCATTTTCTTCTCCCCCGCAAATTTGTACCACAGTACTTGATCTCGTGTTCACTTTGGGGTTTCTGAGGTAACTTGGAGACCCCAAAAGTATGGTGAGAATGAACATACCTTTATGGCAGTCTTTGAGGATGAAAAGCTAGGTTATGCTGACTTACAAGGAGCTAAAAAGGCCCTGAAGGTATATGGGTCTCTGGATTTTTGGAGTGTGCACCCAAATGAATGACAACAGTGCTACAACAGGCCCAGCCTGCCCTGGAAGGTTGGGCAGCATCCTCTTGGATGACAGACACAAGCACAGAAAAGCACCTCTACCAACCTCTATCGCTGGGGACAGGTTACCACAGTTTAAGGACAGATGACTTAAAAACACAGACCCTAGAGCTGGAAAAGTCTACCCGTGAAGGTCACACAGCCATCCCACTCATCCAGTACAGCTGAGGGCACCTGACCCCTGGGGCACAGGGCTGAGGACCTGAGGCCTGGGCAGGCCCTTCCCAGGACAGTCCTTGGCTGCTGGGACTGCTGCAACAGCCCCTCCCCCTCGGTGCCTCTGCAGTCCATGCTTAGGCTGCCGGCCAAGAAGTGATCAGATGGCCCCTGCTGCTGGGCTGAGGCCTCCTACCTCTGCTGGGCCAAAGCAGCTAAGATTCTGAGGAAGGGATGGTCAAGCCTGTTAGATATTGCAGAGGTTAAGAAAGATGCTGAGTTTGGTGACCAGGGTGAGCAGCTTTTAGTCAAGTGAGGAAAGTGGTGTATTGTGGTGGGGAGGGGTGCAGAGAGCCCAGACAAGAAGCTGCTTGGGAAAGAAAGGGGGGAAAGCGAGAGGGCCAGGGAAAACTTGTTGGGATAAGAATCTGTGTGATGGTTTGAGAGGGAGAGGAGGTGGGGAAAAATAATACAGCAAAGCTGGGCAGGAGGGCATAGGAAAGATAAGGAAAGACCCTGAAACTTTAAAGTATGTATGGGGGACTAGGAGGGGAAGTGCAGAACTCCCACACTGGCCTCTATCCCCGTATGAAGATGGGGGTGGGTGGGGATTCGGGGCAGGCTGGGTGGGGAGGAACCGGAGGGCAGCACCGGGCTCTGTACAGAGTCCATTTGTTAGAGACCACCATATGCACACCCTTAATCCTAGGCTTCTCTTCTGTCCTCATCCAACTACTCAGAGTCAGATGAGATGGCTAAAAATGGTCCAAAAGCTGTATAAACTAATAGGTAAATAAACTCAACTCTGAAAGTCACAGCTAGACTTTACCCTGAACTGAGCTGTGACCTGTGATGAGACTTGCAAAGGATCCATCTACGAGGTCTACATGATAAATGAGACAGCAGGAGCTGTCCACGAGCCGTCCACACACCAGCAGGGAAGGTCTGGGGCCACCAACTCCCCCAGGGAAGGCTGGGTCGGAGGCAACTGGCGAGGTGGGCATGGCCACTAATCCCTGCCACAGATAGGCCAGCAGGTCCAGGACACACAGCTCACGCAGCAGCCCAGATTCCAACCCAGTGTCTTCCAAGCTCTTTTGCCTGGATCCTATTGCCTGGGGCTGGACAGAGAGAACCTAAAATAATGTTTCTTGCAGGCCTATGAAGTCAAAGTTTTTCTACCTTGTGCTTCTAGCTGGGCATAAACCACAAGCCAGCTTGTGCCAGCTGTAACCTCCATACAAAAGGTAATTGGAAGTGGCTCATAGAACCTACAAAAGCACTTGATAAAATTTATTTCACATTGTGCCAACAATAGATGGCATTTACCATCTGATTTTGTCGTGTCTAGCCACCCCCATCCCACTGGTTCCCTTGGCAGCTGAGTTTACTGAGATGCTTAATGCCATCTTGATGTGATCCAAACAAAAACCACCAAAACAACAGCATTAATATAAAGATATATTCCATAAAAGAGTTTGGCAGTCAAAGAAAAGCATCACACTTTCTAAAAACATAAGCACTCTTCTTCCCCTAGTCTACAAAAAAAAAAAGAAGAAGAAGAAGAAGAAGAACCAAGCACTCTTCTTCCCCTAGTCTACCAAAAAAAAAAAAAAAGAAGAAGAAGAAGAAGAAAGAAAAAATTATGTCATCATCATCAACAAACACCCACCAGTATATACCACACTAGCATGTACACTTCGGCAAGTCAGTGAAGATAGCACTCAATCCCTGAACGATGAGGACAGAACTGGTACAAAATCTAGAGAAGCATTAGAAAGTAGCCCAAAGATGCACAGACGCCCAGCTATTCCTAGGGGGTTCAGTACACAAGACAGACTTCATTTCCAAGAGCAATCTCAGAATAGCCCTGACAGGAGGGGTAGACATAGTGACCACAGATACCCCAGTCGGGGAGAGGGGAGTCACCTTGAAAGTTAGCAACAAAATATCCTGAGCTTCTCCATAGCTGTAGGCTGGGTCTGCGGCTCAGGACAGGGGCCTGGCCACAGAGCTCCTCTCCCCAGGGAGAGGCAATGTCAGGCCGGCCAGCCGGCCCTTAGCATGTGGCCTCGAGAGGAACCCTGACCAAAGGTTTCGGGCTGGCCATCTCTAGCCGGGGCTCCTTGGCCTCGCAGTCGTGAGAGAGTCAGGATTCAAGTTCCGGGTAACAGTTTTAGTAGCACCAAGACCAGAAGACAGTGAGGTCAAGCTGGGGAGAGTAGTGGATGTGTGTGCAACAGGGGTGCACAGAGGAAGGGGGAACACATATGTGCACCTGGGCTGTTAGGGACAGAAAGGAGAAGCTGATGGGGTTGGTTCTAGGGACACTCGAGGGAACGGAAAGGGATGGCTTCAGTCTCAGACACCGTGTAAGGCTGCTTAGAAGAGAATGCCAGAGGAAATGAAGAGACTGTGTGAGAACATCCTTACCCCTATAAATAAACTATTTACATACTTTAAGAAAAGGAGAGCCCACTCTAATAAGAGACCCACGCCAATGGTCCCCTTGAGCCTTCCGGGCATAATGCTGCTGAGACCAGAGGCGGCTCTTGGCTGGGAGGGCAGCAGACCAGGTACTTCTCGGCACCAGTCCACGCACTGGCTCAGGCTTAGTTCACCTGGACATGGCCGAGGATCCTTCAAACACCCCAACTCATGCAGACACCAGAGGCCCCACCAGCCTCAGAGGTCCACTTGTTCCTCTCTCCCCTCAAATACAGGCAGCACCCCTGTGCTGCTGGGAGAAGCCTTGTCCATGCCCGTGGATCCCCTAACCCTGTCCCATTCACAAGACAAGGCAAGCACTGATAACATGAGTAGTAAGGACACCAGGGCACCCTGCAGACACACTTGGGTTCCAGGAGGGCCAAGTCAAGCCCTCCTCGTAGCCACAGGAGCCATCTGTCCCTCAGTCACCACCCCCACCTAAAGATATATTCTGTCTCTGGGCAAGACCCCAGGCTTGGTCACAAGTTCCTGCAGGTAAGAAGGAGCCCCTTGGTCTTCAGCACCAGCAAGCAGAATCAAAGAGGTCACACTGATGCTGAAGACAGGGTGCTGGCTCTGGCTAGGGTCGTCCGCTTCTCTCCTCTGGAGGTAAAGTGGACGACAGTGAAGGGCTCTGGCCTCCACAGTGTGGCTCAGCTCTGCTCGCTCATTTCTGCTCCTCAGAAGTGATGGCCGGCCTTCACTGCCTCAATGTCCGAAATCAGGGTCCGTGCCAGGAAGATGCCAAATATCTGAAACCAAAGCCAGCAGAGGTAGTGGCCATCAGTGCTGGGACACAAAGCGAGGGAGCAGGCACAGAAGGCGAGGTGGTGTGGGGTGCCCCAACCTACATGCCACTCCCACTGCCACCCCACAAAGACTGAGGATGTAGCGAGAGCAATTATTGGGTACATGGCAAAAGAAGACCAGCCTACCAGTAAAAAGTGAGTCCCGGGGGGATCTAGTTTGCTCCGTCTCTAGAGCCTTGAAGGGGCAAACAATCAAACACTCTGCCCTGACTCCAACACAACAATGCACGTCACATACCATGGCCCAGGACACGCTTTGTGCTCAGGGTTAAACTAAAAATAACAGGGTCATCCTGACTGGTTCTGATTCCCAAAATAATACATCTTGAATGTTTCCTGTAAATCTGGATTCCAGAATAAAACCAAGGTCGTCCCAGATTCTAACTGTGCTGGTAGCTGAAGCTCCATCCTGACCTTGGTGACCAGAAACCAGATAATGATGTGGGGAAGACTGATGTTTTTCTGTCAGAAAGAGACTAATGTGAACTTGGAAACCTTAGGAATTTTGCTTTTTTTCCCCCCCTTTAAATTCTTGTTGTGGTTTGTTTTTGATGAGCTAGATCTTCTGAAGTCTGATTCCTTTACCTACTTTGTAAGTAAAATTTTTTCTTTCCTTTTCTAGATGCTTCTGTCTCTCAGCCTTCCTTTGAGATCGCTAAACATGTTTGTAGAGTAAAGGAGGAAGGAGTACATGGCTGGCTGGCTGGCAGACGCAGGTCCACCTCAGTCACCCTCTTCAAGGTGAGATCAGAGCCAAACGTTTTCTAAGTGATGCGTTTTCCAAACAGCAGGTGTGTCCGGCTGTCCCAGCAGCCGCTCAGCGGCCGCCAGCTTCTCCCTGTGAGCTCTGGGCATGCTGGAAAAACACCTGGTTTCTCTGACTCACTGAAGTCTTGACTTTCTCCTGCCAGTTCTTCTGGTGAGTAGGCAACCTACCCACCCCAGACCTTGGCGCCCCCTTGGCCACCACCATCTTTCCGCATGTGACCATGTCAAAGGAATAGGCAGGCACAGCCCGCAAGGGAAAAGGAAACCACGAAGGGCGGTGGGATCAGACCTGCAGCAGTGAGATGGCAATGAAGACGCCGGCCACAATGTAAATATTCCGCGGGAGCCAGCCCTCCAGTGCCTGGATGCAGCCTTTCGTGAAGATGAACTCGTCCCACTTGCTTTTCAGCTGCAGGATTAAAAGATGAACTTGTGCAACACAACCCACAACCCACATCTGGAGAAAGGGGAGGGAGTCTAAATGCTTGGAGAAGGAAGATGTGCCTTTAAAGAAGGAGAAACTGGGAGAAGGGCATTTAGTGTCTTCCAGTGGCTTCTCAGACTATATCCCTTAGTCCCAGTAAGCTTGGCTCCAGGGCCAAAGCCAACAGGGATGGTCACAAATTAACAGGCTCCTTCCAATCTCAACCCCTACAGGAGGCTCCGTGAGCTCATGGGGAATCTCGTCACAGCATGCACGCCCCACCCTCACCCTCACCCTCACCCACCTTATATACAGCCATCAGCCTCACCCCTCACCCATCACCCTCATCTGTAGCAACACTGACAGAACATTAATTCACTTAGTGGTGTTAGGGCTGAATTGTGTCCTTCCAAAATTCAATGTTGAAGACCTAACTCCCAATACTAACTCCCAATACCTCAGAACATGACTGTATTTAGATACAGGGTGTTTAAGGAGGTGAATAAATTGAGGTCAGTGGGGTGGGCCCTAATCCAATATGACTGGTGGCCCAATAAGAAAGAGGAGATTGGGACACCAATAGACACTGAGGGAAGACCACGTGAGAGCACAGGGAGGAGAAGGCAGCCATTTACAAGAGTAGGAGAGAAGCCTCAACCCTAACACTTTGATCTTGAACTTTCAACCCCAAAATAATACTGAGAAAATAAATTTCTGGAATTTAAGCCACACAGTCTGTGGTACTGTTATGGCAGCCCTAGTAACTAATACAAGTGACAATTAAATTCGTAACTGAAGAAGCTGCTGTTGATACAGGCCCTTGCCTGTGAAATGGAGGTCACTGCAGAAGGACTTTAGGGTTCCCAAACCAGAGGTGCACATGTGCAGTGTCCACGGCCAACAGGAGGGCTGTCTACAGATTCCCCGAGATCCCGCTCCTTCGGTATGGTCAGTCATATCACCAAAGGCCACCAGAGCAAGGACTGGGGTGGAACTCGCTTCTTCTCACTTCCAAGTACACATCTGAACAAAGCCCTAGAGGACTGACCCTGCTCCTCCCGAGAACCGTCTCCCTCCTTGCTGTCACCACTGCCACCTATGGCAGCTGGGCCAAGTCACAAGCTCCCGAAGCTTCATCCTGGGGTTCCAAGGAACCTCTTAAAAATATAGTCTTTATCCCCCAAAACTTTCACCTGACCTCTTTCCACTAATGTAGCAACTGCAAGGTTCTGCCGACTATAGTTCACAAGGGCCTGAAATTACACGCATCACTGTTCCCGTGAGTCTTGCCATCTCAGGCAGGGAGCGTGCGTGCCAGTGTGCTGCTTGCTCGCCTCGCTCCCAGCTCAGGTGGCACCTTTAAGCTTAATCTCCCTTAGTAACCCCGCTCCGGTTTGCACTTGTGCTAAATCAGGAAGTTGGGCCACAGGGAATAAACCTAAAGTGCTCAAAGTTATATGTGTTAGGGCTCTCACCTGAGTCCTTACATCATATCCACATTGTGTGTTCACAACTTTTTGCTGTAAGAAAAACAGAAAAAATTAGTCATTTCATTCCCTAGAACAGTCACAACCAGGCACCAGTAAACACCTATACAAACTCCATTATAGCTCACGTCCTTCAATCACGTTGCCAACTAAGCTTTCATGCTAGGACAGGGTCGGCATGTTTTCTGTGTGAAGGGTGGGATAATAAATATTTCAGACTCATCTATGCAGCAACTGTGCAGCTCTGTCTGCTGTGGGAGCAAGAAAGCAGCCAGCGACAACGTGGAAATGAGCAGGCGCATCTGCATCACGGTAAAACTCGATTATGGACACTGAAGTCTGAAATTCATATAATTTTCATGTCACAAAATATCATCCTTCTTTTATTTTCAACCATTTAAAAATGGCTGAAACTGTTCCAGGCTAGAAGGATACACAAAAACAGGCAGCAGGCCACATCTGCCCATGGGTCTTAATGTGCCAATCCCTGTGCTGGGAAGTAAAAGTTACACTTGTGCTCAGTATTTCACAGTCACAGCGGAGAACTCAGATACCAGCTATGCAATCTCAGCAAACCCAAGCCTCTCCTGGGCTGGGGAACTCATCCAACAGATATGATGCCCCGGATGCTCGGAGCTCTGTGGCCCAGCATCGGGCCTGCGTAACTGCACCAAGTTCTGTAAGGGGCTCAGTTCTGCTGAGGCTCAGGTCAGGCAAACACTCAGGAGCTCAGTTTCTGGAACCCAAAGACCTGGACTGTGCACTGAGAACAAAAACAGGAGAAGAGAAAACGGAGTGGAATTCTCCAAGTGGTGACATACCCCACCGCCCTGTGGGCGTCTAAGAACTGGGCGTTTTCTCCAGAGAAAGGAGAGTGAAGAGGACAAACCAGGGCTCGCTACATTCATAGCATGGTGTCCAGGCACCAGAGGGGGAGCCCCTCGAGGGAGGGAAAATACTGTTCTCCTGCTGCACCTAGAACACTAGAGCCGGAGTGGGCCATGCAGAAATGTTCCCAGAATTTATCTGTGGAGAATTTCAGAGCTGCAGGAGCCCTGGGGCAGTGGATGCGGGTGAGCAGGGCACTCATTCCACCTGCAGAAGAGAAGCGGCCCAGGGCGCCCAGCCAAGAAGTGCTCCGAGTGTCAGACGCAGGGTGACTCACCGCGGGGTCCGGCACACAGCAGGAGAAGGGCACCCCACATTTCTCACGGCTGTAGCTGGCACCACTGCAGTTAAAGTAGACATTGAGGTCCCAGTCTTCGGGGCCATACGCCCCACAGCACTGGTTCTAGAATCACAAAAGCCGAGAACCATCAGGGTCTCCGAGCCAAGGCTGTGGCTGCCCAGCCTAGGGTGTCATGTCAGTCTTGGGGATGTGACATTAAGTATGCCTCCATCTCCCACACAGAAAATGGAGGATGCCCCACTGACCTCCCCACATTCATAAAATGCTCAGCAATGTGTCAGGTCACCTTTTACAAAGGAAACTGTGGCCATGACACCTCCTGGGTGCAACACACAGGATCAGCTCCGTGGCACCCTGGCCTTAGCGAAGAGGAGCTCCAGTCCCTCGTCAGCCTGGAGTTTCACCGCCCTCCCCTCCCCCTAGCCCAGAGCGTGTCTCGCTGTCCTGAAGGCCCCTGGCACCTCTGATATGGTTCTCTACTACCCCCAAGAGAACATCCCATGGGCAGCATGTCTTCCGCCCCAAGAAATTTCCAAGGTGGTCCCACCTACCATTTTTCTTTACAAAAAGACAGCGGCTCAGTGTCTACTCCAAAGGAGTTACAAGTGGGGTGAATTGAAACGTAATCAAAGCTCTGCCCTCCTCTTCCCGCCACGTCCACTATCTGGTCTAGCTGCAGAGAAAACCCTCCATTTGTCTAAAAACAGTGTAAAACCAAACACACAGAAAGCAGCACTGTGAAGTTAATGGGACCCCAATCCAAGAGCAGATTTCATTCTTTCACTTGTCCTTACAGCCGACATGGTTATGGCCATAACCACAACAAATGCACAACCAGGACTTCTGGGGATTTTATTTCTAAGGTAAAACCCCATCTCCTCCACTCTCACCCCTCCCTGACTCCAGCTGCTCTAATGATTACCTAATATCTCACCATGAGGAAGCTCTGTAATTTACTGATAACCTCTGGAAAATTCTATTTTTAAAAGGAAGAGAAGGCAATGGAGAAAACCACTAGGGAGGAGCCACCCACCACGCTTGACACCAGCAAACCCAGGACGATGTGAAAATGAAGACAGAGGATGGCAGCCTGAACAGGAAAGGCACAGTGGGGGACAACAGAAAATGGTTGGGACTTAGTGACTCACAGACTAACAAGGGTCACAGTTAACAACTTAGGAAAGCTTTCTGGTCACACGAATAGGTTTTGCTGGATTCAATGGTACATGAAATAAGGGTAAACAAGTTTCGGTTAATAATGACAGCAGACCAGTTATTTTTAATGTTTTCTAATTTACTTTCTTCTCAGAACCAAAATGTTCCATATAAAATGTTCCTGAGGAAACTAGGTTTTCTGGCAGAGCACCAAACAAGAGCCTTGCATAGGTGGGTGTGGCGGGGAGTGGGTTCCTCTGGGGTGGGAGTTTGGAGGGGGTGGCTGTGGTCCAAGCCTCCAGGTGCAGCCACACACAGGGGGCACAGAGGCCAGCTGGAGAAAAGGTCACAGCCTTGGGCCTGCTTAGACAAACTCCAGGGGACATGTTCCAGGGAGGTTACATTCCTCTGTATCTGAGGAAGCTTCCTCCAGGCTGCTCTACCCTCTCAAACAGGATGGAGGAAAAGGTCTCAAAAAGGAAGGAGACAGGAATAGCTTCAGACAGTGAGTCACGCGCCTGGGGAGGAAGAGCCCTGCCCCTTTTGTACCCACAGTGCCCTGGGGACTGCGGCCGCCTGCGTGGCCAGGGCTGGAGAGGTCTGGGCCCCACAGGGGGAGGAGAGGACTGGGTTCTTGGGGGAGGGTGGCCACGGGGATAGCTGAACTCGCCTGCTCAATTCAAATGGAGGGAGGGCACGCGGAGGCAACCATGAGCTGGCAAAGCTATACTGACCAGCGGCAGAGGTGGCCCCTCCATGGCCTCCATGCCCCGTGTTCCCACTAGCCCGCCTCCTGAGCAACACGCACAGACTCACACAAGGAAAATGCACGCTCTATCGGGGTGTCGCCGCTGGTGGTACTTACGGCTTTCTGAAGGGAGTCAATGAGGTTCTGCAGGTCAATGTCGTCCCGGTAGGATCTGATGTTGCTCTCGAAGAACTCCCGGAACCGATCCCTCACCCAGTCCTGGAATAAGAAGGCGAGCACAGCCACGGCCAGCTCCAAGAAGAAGATGAGCACAATGGCGCCGCAGAACTGCAGGGGAGGGGACGAGAGCGGGAGTCAGCACACCTCCAGCCTCCCGGCCAGATGCACACCCTGGTCGACCCCAGCCTCACATCGGTGCCCTGGAACACCGTATCATTAGCTGGGTGACTCTGGGCAACTCCACCTCATCTGTAAAATGAAGATATTCATTCCTACCCCTTCCACTGTGTTGCTGGTTTAAGAGTCAAATGAGTGAAAGTACAAGAAAACGCCAAGCCAATATATCGACCGTGTCCTACAATGTGCCTTCTACCCCCACCAACAAGGAGGAAACCCCAAGTCGGGAATGAAGGGCAAGGCTACCCTACCAGGCTCTCAGCTCCTCAGGACAGAGCCTGTGCCCCGGACACACTGTCTGAGCACTCTACTCACACACACAACCCTGCAGATGCTAGAAGTCTAACCTGTCAGCCCTACTTCAGGACAAGGAAATTGAGGCTCACGCAGACATTTAGCTTGCCCGAGGTCACCTAACTCACGCATGACCTGAGCTCCCTGGCAGGGCTCTGTACAACTCCAGAGTCATCAATGTTGTCAGTGCCCACTCTGTGCGTATATGATCGTCAACTGCACAAAGCACTCTCCAGAAGCATGGCTGCCTCTGGCCACAGTAGTGGTGGCATTCTGCAAGGGCCCACACAGCCAGAGGGCTACGCTTTCCTCCCGCGGAGGCAGATTTCTGGTCTGCAGAGGTGTGTTCCCCCTGCCATTATCACCAGCCGTACCGCAGCCTAAGACAGAGGGTAACACACACGTGCACACATATATACAAACATTCACACATACATACAAGACCCTCCAAAGTGGAATCACTATTCACTTAGAAGCAATATTAAACATAAAAATTTTTAAGAGACAAAATATTAGAAAAAAAACTACCTGTTTTGCTTTTTAAGTTAAGCCCAGGAAAGAGAAAGCTTGATCTAATAAATTCAACAAATAATTACTGAAAATGTGATTGTGTTTTCTCCATCAGGTGCTACTTAATCTTAACTGAAAGCATTTCAAAATGAATGTGTATCTAAATATAAAAATAAACTCTTGGTAACTCGCAGTTCTGCCAACAAATTAAGAATTCTGCACTGCACATCCAACACACCCTGGAGGAGGGAAATGATTTCCTAATGTTACTGACAACATCTTTTGATCTTAGCCAGGAAGGGCAAAAGTGAGTAGCGAACAAACAATTCCTTTAGAACTAGGGAGGAAAGCTAAAAGGAGGGGGTCGGAGGGAGCAGGGGGAAAGGATCTAGCCTTTGAGCAGCTGACTCCTCCCATTGGGAGATGAAAACCAGAGGGGCCAACTTCTCTTTCTCCAGGGATGAGAAGCTAGCTCAGCTGACTATTTCTTGAAATCTTCCCATCTGGTGGAGCAGCAGGGTACAAAGGACTGCCCCTTCCTTTTACCACTGGGCCCCAGTGAGGCTTGTAAGAGCTAGTACCTGTTCTGACCAGATAAGGTATAAGCCTGCCTTGCAGAGCCCACCCCTCTACCTCCCTGTCTCTTCCCACTCCATCCCTGGGGCCACTCACAAACTTGAGCAGGCAGATGTTCTCCCGCAGGGCCCCCACACAGCCAGCAAACCCCAGTGTGAACATCACCACGCCCACTATCAGGACCAGCACCACGGGGTCGATTCCATGCAGTCGCGTCACTTTGGTGAGGTCTGACAGCACCCCCTGAAAGGAGCAGAGAAAATAGGGTAGGATCAGCCTCAAAGAGAGTCAAGGGTGCCCTGAGGGGCTAGGCTGTGTTCAGAACTAAACTGAGGACAGGGACCTGCCTTGTGAGAGGCAGTCATCTCACTGAAAAGCCAGGCAAGAGTGTGGCCCTTGCCTCCTGTCCCCTGAGAGGCCCCTTCGCCAGCAGATCTTTATACATGTCGGACCCCAGGCAGACGTCACGTTTCTTTTGTAGCCTGCAGAGTGTCTATGACAGGCCTGGAGTGGAGGGGGGTTCTGAGGGGCCCTGTGACCTGCGGTCAAGGCACCCTGTGGCCATACGCTCACTCTAGCCTCTGCAAATCTGGCAACTGACTTTGTACTCAATTCATGGAGAATACCACTATCCTGAGATGAAAATGGCTTCAATATGAACACTTGTGGAAAACACACCCACCAAGGGCACATAAAGGCAGCCCTGTCCATAAAGCTTTTTGTGATGATGGTGGTATTCTATATCTGCACCATCCAAAATGGTAGCCACTGGTTACATGTGCGATTGAGTACCTGAACTATGGCTAGTGGAACTGAGGAACAGAATTTTATTTTGTATTTCATTTAAATTAATTTAAATATAAATAGCCACATGCAGCTAATGGCAACTGAAATTGACAGAGCAGTTCTATGAGATTTGAAGGAGGGAGGAGAAACAGCAGCTGGACTAGGCTACCCAGCTGGGACCAGGCGGTTCAGTGGCCAGGCCTAAGCTCAGGGCTGTTGGTTGAGCTGCTATTCTGGAGGTGGCCACACGGTGGCGCTGTGAGTCATGAATTGCACAGGCTTCTAGGTCACTAGGGCAAAGGGACATTGTACCCTTTAGGGGTTCACAGGCCACTTTGAAGGTGTCCGAACCCAAAGGCGGGTCTTATCCAGTTCCTAAGGCCATGGCAAGAAAGTCCACAGACTTACGTACTCCTGCCTCGTCTTTCTGAGGCTCCACTGAAGAAAGAGAGCCCTGGGCCTGAGGCTCAAGAGGAAGCTTTAGTTTCACAGTTTCCTGCCAGACCTACTGGACCTTACTCCTCTCCCTCCTTCTCTGTCCCTGTAGTGAGGGCCCTGTTCAGCCCTCACCACCTCCCTAGCTCCTACCCACCCACAGAGTAAAAAAGGTGGCACCACAGCTCCGCCCTGACCACAGCCAATCTAGTACCCTCCCCAGGGTTTCAACTGCCTTTTGCCCTTCTAGACAGTAAGAGCCTGGTCTCTCCTCCTCACCTCTCCTCCGCAGTCTGGAAAAGGAGGTGCAGAGGGGCATAAAGACCCACCCCTGCCCCACAGGGTGGCCAAAGGCATATAAGAGCCCTATTGCCAAACTTGGGGGTTTTTTCTGTGGGCAAGGACAAGAGCTTTAGACATAAACACAAGGACACACTTGCTCCCAGAGGCACAGACAGGGTCAGGAAGGTGGCCCCAGGCCTGCCCTGGACATAGCTGCAGACAAGCCCCAGGCCAACTTAGAGTTTCTAGGGACAGAAAATAGGGCTGGGCTCTCCACACTCACTGAGCTCAAACACCCAGCCAGTCCAGCTCTGGCCTCTATCAGCAACACTAGCATGGTGAAGCAGAGCCAGCCACAGGACCCCATGAGCTTTCACAATAAGTTCAATAACTATTTCCAAGGGCTGGCTCTATAAAGATTAATGACTACAAATGATTACCTTGCACAAGAAATGCTCGTCGGGGAGAAGACTGGAAGAAGGGACAATTAAAGCTGAACAAACCTGGTTCTGGCTAGCTGGTGCTCAGGGTCCTAATCAGGGTTACACCTACCTTTTCGCTCCATGCCCACAGTCCGGCTCCAAGGAAGGCAACTCCAGCCAACTAAGCAAGGACGGGGAGAGGGGTGGAGAGAGAAAATAACAGTTAAGCTAGAAACCAGCACCATGAACCTGCTTCTTAGAGGAGGGTCCACACTGCTAGTCAGGGGATGTCAATGGCTCATGTCCACTCTGGGTAGGACAGGGACAATGCGGCCCCTTGGCCCCTATAGATGACAGGGTCTGTACTCCCAAAGGGACAATGAAGCTCTTCGGATAATCCATACCTACCAAACCTTTACTCTTTCAATCCCACCCAGCCCCGTGCAGATCTCAGAGCACATTGTCCTGGGAAGATTATGGAGTCAGAGACATCAGGCCATGCCTTGTTTCTTCTCTATTCCACAAGCCTCCCAACTTCTTTCAATGCACTGTCTGGTGTATAAGAAGACATCGCCCCTTGTGATGGCTGTCCCGTACAGCTGAGGCTCTGCATAGAATAAGGCACTACTGTCGGGAGCAGAGAGCCTAGTACCACCTCTGCCACGCACCTCAGGCCTCCAGCCCTGGAGACAGATCCAAGCACAGACAAGCAGTTGGCCAGGGCTGAACCTCTACTCCATGGCACCTATACTCCACAAAGGGCATACATATGCTCAGGGTATGCTGGGTTATTAGTTATTAAATTAAAATAGACCTGTGCTAAGCAATGTGCTCACCCCAGAAAAGTAGCACCCTGCAACTCTGACTTCCCACCCACGAGAAGCCACTGGGGCTAAGCTGCCTCATGTGCACCCCCACCCCCCACCTCCCAATACGTCAGATTCCTGAATGAGGAAGGATTTTTCCATAAAGCAAAATACCTCATGGTCTCTGCAAATTGCGCAGCCTTCTGTTTTTCCGTTGAACTACTTTATACCCTGCTAGCATTTAGCGGCCCTTTATCAAGTACCTCATGATAAATAATGGGGCTATATGTCGCTATGGCTCTCAATCTTCCTAAAAGTGTTCTCAGGCTTCAGGACACTCCCACCTACTTTATTCACTGCTAGCTCTAGATGGCTGGAGTGGGAAGGGGAGGCCCTTTTAAAAAAGCCCTGGGAATTGTCAACCTCTTTCGCAACACAGACCACTTTCAGAAAATGTGTACATGCCCAATATTTTGAATGGAATTTCACAGACTTCTCACTGCTGGTTCCCGCACATCCTGTAGACCCCAAGTGAAGAAGCCCTGCCAGGATCCTATTCCTGTTTGACAAAGCAGAACACAGGCTTCAAAATGCCAAGCAGTGGCAGAGAAGGGTGCAGATGCCAAGTCTCTGTTTAATTCATTCATTCACTCTCATTCATTCAACAAATCCTGAGTGCATCGTAAGTGCCAGGCATTGTCCACACAGGCAGGAGCCCCATGCTGCAGGAGCCTGTGCTCTAGGGAACCCACACGGGGCCCTTCCCACCACACCCACTGACTGTCTGCTTTTCAGTCCTCAAAAATTAACTAGTTGATGCATGTCTACTTCCTCTCCCCAGTGTCTCAGACTATGTAGTAAGCAAGTCACTGCCCAGTGTATCCTGCAGGCTTCCCTCCCACCATTCCTAAAGGACTCTGATGACTTACTCCCTCTTGCCAAAGCTGGAGGTCAAGTCCTTTTCCTCAGCTTATCTGAACTCATCCGACACAGCCAGTCATTCCCTTCTCTACCAAGGCACTCAGTTTTGGGGCCACAGGGCACATACTTACAGTTGTCTTCCACCCTCCCTGTCATTCCTTCTCAGTCCTTTCTCTTGGTTCCTCCTCCTCCTTCAGAGTCCTCTAAATGTGGTGAACCTCACGGCTCAGTCCTGGACCCCATCCTCTCCTGAGCCCTCCAAATGATCTCAAAATTCACGTGTCTTTAAATTCTACCTAGACTGAACACTGCAGACTCCCAAATCCAAATCACCAGTCACGGCTGCTCCGAATCAAACACCCTAATGTCTACTTGACTTGTCCACTCGAAATCTAAAGACATTTAGATCTTAACATGACCCAAAATGGAGCCTTGTTCTTCCAACCCCCATCTAGCTCCTCTCCAGCTCTTCCCTTCTCATTAAGTGGTGCCACTGTCCATCTATTCATTTGTTTAAGACAGAAAGTCTAGACTTCATGCCTGTTGCCTCTCTTTCTTTCCAATTCCACATTCACCCTACCAGGACCCTCTGCTGGTTCCACCACCAAAATCTATAGTGTATCTGGCCGGTTTTCTTGCTGACTCTTTGCTCCCACGTCCATGTTCCACTCCTTTGTGGGCTTCCTTGCGGTCTCCTTGTTGGTTCCTCGAGCAACTAGAACAATCCTTTAAAAATATAGATCAGATAACTCCACTCCCCCAAACCCTCCAATAACTTCCTTCTACACCTAGAATAAAATTTAAACTCCTTGCCACGGCTCATAGGGCCTACATGGCGAGGCTTTGACCCACATCTCCAACATCATCTGCTACCTGTCTGCCCACCCCAACCCCATTCCCAGGCCACCCTGGCATTGTCTCTAGCTCTTGAACTCACCACTCTCCTCAGAAACTCAACACTACTCCCTCGGCTTAGAATGTTCGTCCTCCATATCTCTTCCTGGTTTCCTCCCTCACTTCATTCCATCCTCTTCAAATTTCGCCTGGGAGATGCCTTCCTCTACTGTCCGAGGTGGACAGCTCCCCACCCAGTACACCTGACTGCCTTCCCACTTGATTTTCCTCCGGCACTCACCCTAGACTACATGACCTGTCTGCCTGTCTATTGTGTCTTCCCCAGTTAAGTCTTCTGAGGGGAGAGATGTTTTCTGTTTTGTGGGTTGTATCCCAAAAACTTGGAGCAGGACTTGTCCCTCACAGGGACAGAGCAGGCACAAGTGAGGGAGTCACCAGTGCTCCCAGACCAGGGCAGTCCTTGCCTATGGTCCTTCCTTTTCCTCCTTGGAAACTGCTCACGGAATCACGATCCACTTGAGCCACCATCCCCCCCACCAAGCACAGTTCTCCTCCTTTCACAAGGACTGGGCTCTAAGAAAGGGCTTGTATTTTTTTCCATTCTGTTTTAAAGGAAGAACTAAAGTTAACTTGCACCAGAAAAGACAGGAACTATAGGGTCACATGTCAGATCATGGGTTCAATGAATACCAGCCCCGGGCAAAAACTTGGGGACCACTTGTTTTCGAGACAAGATGACCGACGAAGGACCAGACAGGGGAAGTGACCTGTCTGGGAGCACGCAACAGCCCCATGAACAAACTGAGACACTCGCCAGCTTCACCCAGCTCCTACTGGAGCCCCTTACTCAGAACTCTCTTGAGCAGACAGTCTGTGGGGTTGGGCTGTCCTCACTGGCTGCCAACCATGTGGGAGTGACAGAATAGCTAGGTACCTTCCAGCTTCAGAGTAACCTTCTCAGCTCCTTGCCACACCTGATTAAATTCTGTCCCAAAGAGGCCCACTAAGCCCAACAGGAGGCCAGCCTTGGACCATCAGGTACGTCCACCGCAGAAGGTCACCATGGCAAGTAGCACCACCCTTCCCGGGGTGCCAGGCACTACATTAAACACTCAATGCACCTAAAGAGGCCCTTCCATACCACTGGAACTATTACCCCCATTTTTCAAATAGGAAAGCTCAGGTATAGAACAATTTGGTTATTTTCCCAAAGTCACACTGCTAGCTGGTGGCAGTATTAGGATCAAGCCTGAATGTCTCTGACACTCCTGACATCCATTGTCTCACCGGCCACAGGGCAGCTACCCAGGCCAAGAAAAAGGGCCAGTCACAGGGCGTGGGAGTTCCAAAGAAGGGACTTCTGGGCTGTGCACCTCTAAAGCCAAAGACCCCCATTATCTATCGGGTGGTGAGGGTCACTCTGTCTCAACCAGGGCAGGTAGCCAAGGGAGCAGGGCCTGTGGGGGATGGGGCGGGGGTGGGGGGAAGGAGAAATACCACTGTGAAGATTCAATACTGACCTTTCCACCTTAGGCAAAGATCCCTATGAAAGAAGGTAAAAGGTCCTCTTGGGGGCCTCTGGGCTGTTCCAGCCCTGTCTTGTCCTGGAAGCCACATGAATCCAATCGCCATGTGAGCAAGTTTGTGGCACTTTACCCAAGCAGGTGCAAGTCCCAAGAGAACTGCAGACACCTGGCCAGGCTCTGCTGGACTAAAGGAGGGTTCTACCACTGAGCACGTCAAAAGCATCCACTTATCACCTACAATTTAGTGGCCCCGGCCCCTTGCAAGATTTCATTCCAGCATGTTTAAAGTACTTAGGCAATTCACACAGCCCCAGAGGCCTTTCCTCAGCAAGCTCGAGGCAAACCACTGGCAGCTCTGGCCTGTCGGCCTCTGGTTCTTGCAAATTCCCCTGACTGACAGAAGCTGACATTCACAGAGCCCATTCCCCTGGGCCACCTATGGGACCCTCAAAGAAAACCAGAAGGAAACCCAAAAAAAGTAGTAAGCCACTGAAACTCGAGGCTGAAAGAAACAGCACAGGTCAGCCAGCCCTGGCTCCAGTGTCCACTCTGCAACTTCCTGGTGACAGGACTTCATGCAAGTCCGGGAACTTCTCTGAGCCTGTTTTCCTCTGCAAAATGGGGTGACTCTCCCTGGGTCATAGGAGAGTTATAGGACTGAAAGAAGTATGATGTACTCACCCTGGGGTACAAAGTCATTCTGAGCAGGGCCCTGCCCTCCTGAGGTAGAGGCAAAGCAGAGGCATGGATGGGCCTTCAAGACATCATCGGCCTTTGCTGGACTGAAAACACTCTGTGCCCAGCGCCCCACTCCTCCCCCCCCCCAAAAAAAACAAAAAAACAACTCTCAGCACCACTCTTTGTCCTAAGACGAGGTCCTCCCTTCCAAAGGAATCTGTTTTACTGGGCCCCTGGAGACCACAGTAAATGAGTTCAGGGAAACAGAGCCTTCTGAAGGCTTTTCAAGTGAGATAGGAAAGGGCAATGGAAAGAAAACAGGGGAAGATGTGGAAGAAGCTAGAACTGTCTCACCTCTGTTCCTAAGTTTCCCTGTGGCCTTGAGCAAGCTGTCCCTCTCTCGTACTTCAGTTTGCCAATCTGCAAAATTAAGCAGTTGGAGACTCCAAGGGCCTATGCACGTCCCGCTGACCTAAGCTTTGCCATCATAAATAATGCTGGGAGAAAACCCTATGGTCCTGGCCCTCTCCAGAATAGGAAATCCTGACTCCAGGTCCAGAGAGTTCCAAGAACACCAGAGATACTCACAGCCACTTGAAATGCAAACGATTTAATCACTGGCCAGAAAGGATGCCAGAGAGCACAGACCTTAGCCCCAGCCTGGCCCTGAGAGCCCAATGGGCTGAGGAGCAGTACCAGGGCATCTGTTAGGAGTAGGGAGCCTTGCCCCTCAAGGCTATGACCACTCTGAACCCTAAAAAGGGCAAGGAATAGTCCTTTCAAAATGGTCCCACATTAAGAGTCTAAACCAAGCTGCTTCTCAGTGGGAGTTTGGAAGGTCTAAAAGCCGGAAGGGACACTAGAGCCCAGCTTCCTCATTATAGAGGGAAACAGGGCCCAGGACAGGACAGTGCCTTGCACGGGGTTACACAGCTATCGCACACCAGCTTTTCCTCCTGCCGGAAGGGTGGTTCTGAGAATTAGAAGCATGCATGCCTTTCCCAGCACACAGCCAGTGAACCCATGCTACGGGCCCCAGCAAGGAGGGGTAAAGACTGCCCACAGGGTTCTGGGGACAACTTCCACAGATGTCTCTGTGTTCCCTGATAACAGAGAGCCCACGCCCACCAAGCCTTGCCCAGGAATCTGGCTGTGTCAGAGCCTTTGAAAGGAAGGAAGGAGGAGGACAGAGTCATCCAAGAGAGATTACAGGCAGTTCCCCAAGCAACTGGGAAAGGAACCCCCAACCCAGCCTCACCCCCACCCCAGTCTCTGCCATTGCTGGCACAGCTCAGTGATTAACAGTGGGCAGAAAAAAATACTAAGCCAGGGGTCAACATCTCTGTAAGCTAAATAGTAAATACTTTCAGCTTTGCATACTGGATTGTCTCTGTTTCAACTCCTCAATGCCGCTGTTATAGCAGGAAGGTAGCCATAGATAATATGTAAACGAATAGGCAGGGCTGTGTTCCAATAACGTTGTATGTGCAAAACAGGCAGAGAGCCAGGTCTGTTCTGCAAGCCAAGTCCTGCACTCAACTATCACACTAAAACCATCTGGACCTAGAGACGAAAGACA